GAGAATCTGTCGTACGCAGGCAGCCTGAGTGTGTCGTTGTGTGTGTGTCTGTGTGTGTGTGTGTGTGTGTGTGCAGGACAGTGATATTTGGGCAGATGGCGTCCTGTTACACTCTGCTCAATTAACTTGCTATGGCTTCCATTGGCCCAGTGTGCTGTGTGTGTGTGTGTGTGTGCAGGCTTTCCTTGTGAAACCATACTAAACATTTCATGTTATGTTATTATTTTGATATTTATTTATATATATATATATTTTGATATTTTGTGTTTTAATGTTTAGTATCTTGGTACTGGTATGTAGTAAAATTGCGCGTGTGTGTGTGTGTCGGGGGTCAATGACGTTGCGTTGGGCCTCTGTCAAGGTCATTGTTCTCATGTGTGCAGAGCTCCTCGTTCATGGCCCAGGTTTATGTTCTGTTTATGTTCTGTGTGTTTTTCCTGCCAGGATGAAACATGTTCCTTCACAGAGAAATAAAAGTGGATGGAAATGGTTCATTAAAAATGGACAGTGCTTTCTTCTTCTTCTTCTTTTTTATTGGTAATTTGATCATTAAAAGCGTCCTCCTACTGCAGCAGATGATGCACAGCAGTAAAAGACGTGAATCTTAGTGACACCCAGAGGACAAGTTGATCATTGACGCTATAAATGTTGGCTTACACTGTAAAAGAAACAGTACAAAATATATGATGAACCTATGTATATTATTACTGTTCTGTGTGTTTCCTCCAAAACAACAATAATAAATGGAATGTATAAATAAATGAATGACCTTTGTTTTGTTTCTCCTTTAGATCTTGTCCATTGGAGTCCTGGACATTTTTGGGTTTGAAGATTATGAGAGCAACAGCTTTGAACAGTTCTGCATCAACTTTGCCAACGAACGACTTCAGCACTACTTCAACAAACACATCTTTAAACTAGAACAGGTAAGGAGGCCGCGCTGGATCTCCACTGTTCCACTCTCCTCTCCCATCCTCGTCTCTCCTCTCCTCTCTTCTGCCCTCTTCTGTTTTTGAGAGGAGCTGAGAGGACGAGGACGTGGACACCTCAGAAACACCCAGTGTATGATAGGCAGGATTTGAGGTGACGATAACTCACTGAGGCCCAGTGTGAAAGGAGGAAAAAACATCAGATGTTCACAGCAAGCCTGCTAGGACACGCACTTAACCTCCACCTAGGGGGCAGACGGGGTCATCACACCCAGTGGAAGTTGACTAACTCTGAAAGAAGTAAATCAGATGACTGACGACCAGTGAGTGATAGACCATCAGCTGACAGTTTAACTGTCGACACCACAGGATTCAAAAATGATTTAAATTTGAATTAGGTTAAATTAAATTATTAATAAAAGATTCAGGCTTAAGTTTAATTTTTTAATAAATGCAGAAATTACATTTTTCTTAAACAATCTTTTTTTTTTTTTTTTTAGGAGTTTAGTATTAAGACCCTGATTTGTGTTACAATTAAATCCTAAAACTCACAAAATAACTTTTTTATAAATTTTATTTTATTTTTTTCTTTGGTTTGTCGTCTTTTGATGCCGTTCCTTTGTCACGGCTGAGACGATCACAGAGAGACGTCAGCTCAGACATGGTGACCACCTCCCACCTCCGTGCCTTTCATTCAAACAGACCATTGAAGAAACACTAATCCCTGATCAGCCCCTCTACGTATTCATTAGACTCAGTTATTCAGAGTCCAAGTGCCAGACCACTTAATATTCTCCAGGCCTCCTTTGTGGTTGTCATTGTTTTCCCTGGACAAACTGAGGGCACACTCCAGGAGGAGGAAGAAGGAGAGAAGCGAGAATGAATGTCAGTCAGCTCAAATATATAAGTTGTCAACTTCTGGTCTTTTTGGAGGTGGAGGAAAATTAGCAGATGGTCTCAGCGCCGGAGGCTGAAGAGGGAAACGAGCTGCGTGTCTGTGAAGGAGCGCTTTAACACTGTTTAACCCCTGAACGGAGACGACAAACTGCTGATCTGCCTGTTTTAATGATTCTGTTATCAGTTTCTGACAGTTAAGCCTCGGGCAACACACACGGGAATACACACACACACACACACACCAAATGGTAGGATCCAGTGTGTACCAACAAACATGTTGTGGTACCATGATTAAAGATCTGACAGTTAAAGACTTTCAGATGGATTTGTCAGATTTCACGTTGTTTTTGGATCACGACGCAGGAGTGAATTATCTGTTTGACATTTTGAGGAACTGCGTTCTTTTCGGATCAACGTTTTCTCTCTAAATCACCAGGTTGCTGCAGAGACTTGTCAGGGAATACTGTAAAGATGTGTGTGTATATGTGTGTGTGTGTGTGTTGTCTACAGTAATTAGTGGGTCACATTCAGACCTGGGTTATGAGGATAAATGTGGTCGGTCACATGATGTAAAGTAAACTTTTATACCTGACACCTAGTGGTCTGAACTCCACGAACATGTTTGTATTTGTGTTAAACACGCAAAGTCTGAACGAGGGATTTAAATGGTTAAATATGTGTGTCAAACCACCAGCCTTTTCCCAGGACAGTGAAGGCATCACTGGCTGTGCTGGGCTGGTTCAAAGCTCACCTCAGATAGTCTGGAAAAATTGTAGGAGTCGTACTCGTAATTGTGGTGGATCTCAAACTGTGGTATGTGTGCCACTAGTGGTACTCAGTCTCCCTCTAGTGGTACACAAATGAATCTGATTCCCAATAGGCTCAGGTGGCTTTTTTTTCTGCTTGGAAAAAAATGGAAATTATTTACAGTTACTGGAAATAAGTGAAATAATATTTAGTGCTGTTCTCTGGTCATATCTCTGTTTTGATTGGACCGTTTACTTGACGGTTTGTTCCTGTGCTGTGCTTCAACAAAGTAACTGTCGAAGTGCTGACGTGACGCTCGCCTCACAGAGCGATGCCAAATATTGTTGAAGCAGAGTTCACATTTATTATCCTTGAGTCACTGAGGTCCTCTACGTCTTTGGCTCTGTGCCGTCCCTCTGTTTGTTTGGCGAGACAACAGTAGAGCTGCAGGGGGCCCCGCTGAGGCAGGTTGGTATAGCCTCCCACTGGGGAGGGGGGCCGGGGCGGGGCGGTTTGTCAGATCTCTGCTGATTGGTGTTTGTTTGAATAAACTTGTGCAGTTCGGTGTCTCCTCAACCACAGGTTTGACATCATTAGGAAAGAGAACTCTTCACACCTGCTCTTTACCACTTCTGATGTGTGTTGATCTGCTGACCTCAGGTCAGTCGGCATCTGGAGTTCTCTGATGATTCACCAGGTGAATGAGTGATGGCGTGAGTGAAGACCGTATTTATATGATGGAGATGGAGGTCACCGTCGTTTTTATCAGACCTGTGTGTTCAGCAGTCAGCTATTTTGCCTTCGATCAGCATGGTATCTTTTTTACTCTTCCTGGTGGACTCCAGTTCAGGTGGTCTCATCAGTGCTGTGTTTACGTTCAGAGCTGGACCCAAAGCTGCTGGGAATGCACTCCAGTACGTTTACTGTCTCATCACTGCAGGCATGCCTGTTGAACAGACACAGCCTGAGGCCGAAGATTTAAGTCGTGAGGTGATCAACAATGTCATCTGTGCCCGGCCTCACTCAGAGTCTGCAGCTGCTGCCAGTTTCATGTTTTAATGCCAGTGAATGTAGGATTGGCCAAACCTGGTTCTCTCTCCTCCTCCTCCTCCTCCTCCTCCTTACCAAACTACTGATCCCTTCTTTAAATGCCAAATTTTTAAAATCTTGTGTTGCGTCAACTCTCCTAATTGCGACACCGTTCTTTTTGACTGTTCATTTGAAACACAGTGCTGTCAAAACAAAAGACACACAGGGAGAGAAATATGAAAACAGAGAGAGGACAGACAGGCAGAGATAGGGAACCTCACACACACACACACTCACACACACACACACACACACACACACACTCACCTTAAGTGACTTAAATCCTGCAGTGAGTTAAGCAGCAGAGAACAGAAACAGAACAATGCATTGTATCAGGAACCGATCAGGACCAGGAACTGTTTATAAGGAATGAAGAAAGTCTTCCTTTTGGCATTTAAAAAACATGTAAAAAAAACTGGACGAACCCAAAGGACAAACACGGCACAGATGGCAGGAAAATCATAATTTCCCATTACGCAGCTCTTCACCTTAAGCTAGCGAGTGGCTAGCTAGCACATTTAAACTGGTTTGTCCCCTTTGATTTCTTTAGTTCTGTTCTTATCTGTCAACAGTTTGTTTAAAAGTTTAATGTTTCCAGTGAAGAGTGAGTTTGTTTCAGGTGTAGCTCAGATCCTCACGATTAGAGATGTTTCTTTCTTGGTTTTGTCGCTGACTCTGCTGCGATGCCTGATCAGTGCAGCACATACAGTACTTACCTGATGGAGAGTTTGTCTGTCCGCTCCTCTTGGTTCTGAGTATCTGTCCTCAGTTTAACACACTTTCACAATCACCCTGTCAAACGCAACACAGGCGGACCGTTGAAGGCTGCCACCTGTTGGTCAAAGTCGGCACTGACGGCTGGACAAAAGTGCGATGTTCTGTTTTATTCAGTTCAGTCTCTGCGTGGAACCAACTAGGCCACATGTGCTGAATACTTAGTCAAAGGCGTTAAAACAGGTGAATAATAATAAGGAGGACACGGTGGACGTGCTGCACACCTAACAGTACGCTCCAGTTGCTGCTCGGAGTACTTCGACTTTAGGACAGCGTTGTCCTATTTAAGCAGTTATGGAACATTAGTTCCAGGAATCTTCATAATCTTTCTATATTTTGGCGCAGATGCAGTACAGTACAGTACACCTACGTAGTACTGCGGATACTGTTGCCTCTCCTATTCTCTGAGTATTTCAGGTATGTGTTTGGTTTCCAGATTCTGTCCTCGTGCCCCGACCGTAAAGGTCAAAAAGAGTATCATTATGTATTGTGAACAAAAATACATGAAGTACCTAAAAAAAGATGTGGTAACACACACACACACACACACACACACACAGGCAGAGTCATAATGACGGCCAGGTTTATTTTTAATCCCAGTCTTTTGGCACATTCCTGTGCATGACGCTGGTGTTGTGTCTGCCTGCAGGCTGCGCTCCACTTGAACTGGGCTCATTTTTAAGGGTCTCTTGTCTCTGCATACCTGCTTCTTCTACTGCTTGGTACGGAGGTTCAAGTCCAGTGGTTGATTTCTGAAGGTTGGAGAAATTGTCAGATGCAGTTTCCGGTGGTCGGGAGCAGGAGGTCGGTTCCGACCCTGCGCTGACCAGAGGATGTTTGTGGCACACTGACATGTGGTCATGTGGTCAGACGTGACATTCACAGGGAATAGTTATGATTCCCACAGGATCATCCCAAGGGTTTGGACTTCCCTGACCTTTTCTTCCACTGCTTGTGGAAATGTGTTGCTTTTTGTTTTGTTTTTAGCTATTTAGCGCCACCTGTTGGCAGATGTGTTTAGTGTGCTTGCTGCACAGCATGTAGGTCACCGGTTGATCCTGAGTCTCCCTATTTTTCTCTCCAGCTATTCAATTTTTTTTGCCTACAGCAGGGGTCCCCAACTGCTGGGTCAGGGACCAGAACTGGGCTGTGGATCATTTGATTTTATTTTTAGTTTTTATTTATTTATTTATATTTCTATGCATGGGATTTAAAAAAAAAAAAACCCAAAGCATCGAATAAAATAATTATTATTTTTACATGTTATATGTGATAATTAATTTTTAATAAATGCATTTGATTGTGTTCTGTTATATAGTTGACTCCTCTCACACACACACTGACTACTGACCCACAGAACACAGATCAGTGTTGTAACCCTTTTTTTTTTTTCTCCCCCTTCAGGAGGAATACAGGGCAGAGGGCATCACCTGGCACAACATCGACTACATCGACAACAGTGGCTGTATCAACCTCATCAGCAAGAAGCCCACGGCTCTGTTCCACCTGTTTTTTTTTTCTCCCCCTTACGAGTCCTGTTATTTGACACACACAAGGATCAGAGTTGATGGTGGTTCTGTATTTAGGAACTCAATAGAGCGGAACGGTCTAAACTTTGGCTGTTTTAGATACCTTTTTTAAATTGTTTTTATACTTTATAATGCTGTACTACACAAGTGTAGTACAAAAAAACCCCAATAAACTTCAATGACGGCCATCGACGATTAAGACCTCTCCTTAAATAGTAGTAATAGTAAATTTTATCAAATCTTCTGTGGTTCTTCAAATTTATTTGAAAAAAAAAACAACTTTATGATGTCAAACGAAAAAATATTATAATATTATTCTCATCATCATCATCCCATGATTCTGTTTTCAGTTTTCAAATCCTTTATTGTGCAACATTCTCCTGCTGCAGGTCAATGTGCTGCCTCTGCATCTTTCACCTCCATTAATCAGATCCAGCTCTCCCCGGCTCCCTTTGCATAAAAACGCTCCAAACACACACACGCACACACACACACACACACGCACAGCCATATGCCATTATGTTACGTTAGCTGTCGTCTCACTTCCCACTTAGCATAACTGCTTCATGTGGAGTTAATAATGTCTGGCATGGATTCAGTGATGTGTACAGTGTGTGTGTGTGTGTGTGTGTGTGTACATGCAAATACCTGCTGACAAGCTTTGGTAAACGTGGGATGGGGGTGGGGGGCCGGGGGTTGGTGTCTGGAGCTCTCCTGAAGTTGATTCTGTCACAGGAAGGATTCTTAGACTGAGGGGTTTCTTTCACCACAGAATCTCAGCCTTCACAGTTCACAGAACTTCAGGGCCTCAGGAGAAGAAGGTCGGGTTTCTGCAGGATAGGGGGCACTGTTTGTGTGAGTGTGGGGGGGGGGGGTCTACAGTAACTTTAGGCTTAAACAGAGGTGAACAGTCACATGACTCTGAGGGTCAGGTTTATTTAAAGCAGACAGTATGGAGGGAAAATATTGTTTTTTCTAAATTAACAGTAACACAAAATGAATGATGAGAACAGAGAGGAGAGGAGAGGAGGAGGAGAGGAGAGGGAAGAAGAAGGTGAGCAGAGTGTTTAATCCTGTCTTCAGTTCCCAGGTCTTCAGACCATAGACAGTTGGTGAGGAGCACCACTGAGTAACAACATGTTCTTTTATTATCTTTTTTACTAATTCAAAGTTAAAGAATTATCTCTGCAGTATATCACAGTAACTGCAGAAACATGTTTGTTACTGTGTAGAACGTCTGTGTGTGTGTGTGTGTGTGTCCGATAACTGTCAGTCCTGAACCTGGTCCTGATAAAATCACTGTCTCTTTAGTTTCCCTCAGGCGTCCAATCAGACCTTGCTGGACAAGTTCAAGCGTCAGCACGAAGGAAACAGTTACATCGAGTTCCCCGCTGTCATGGAGCCTGCCTTCATCATCAGACACTACGCTGGGAAAGTCAAGTATGGAGTCAAGGTGAGATGAATTATATTCCCACCTCTGACGCACAGTGTCCGCTTGAAAATGTCTGAAGCAGAGGTTCAAAAAGTGGGGGGGCGGGGTTCCCTTAGGGGACGCAGGGCTTGGGTCCATGGTTGGCACGGTGAAGCAAATGAATTTTAAAATTCTGTATTTTCTTCATTTGTGCCACAGTGGGGGGAACTCCTCTGAATCCAAATGTAATTTCCTTTGTGTAATGAAAAAGACAGTTCTGTAGGTGTTTCACACCAAGTTCACGGCAGTTCTCAGCCAGTAGATGTGAATGCGTCGTCCTGTCTTGGACGATGGCACCTGGGAAATACTCCCCGTCTCTGGACACATCTTTAAATCCTCACTGCTCACCCTTCAGTGTGTGTGACCTTTCATCCATCTCTGGACGCTGCTCCTTCAGAACTACCTGTTGTTCTTCACGCTCATTGTTTTCCAGTGAAAACCTACTCTCCGTTCACCCCCTGGTGGAGTGGTGATAAAAAGCACATGTAGCTG